CATAGTAGATCAATCTAAAGATTCAATTTTCATCAACAGTGGCAATTCTGTAAATTCAATAGAAGACTAGAATATTTCATTACAAGTCTTTTGTTTTAATATTTTATGATTCTTTACTTAGTTTTCTAATTTCCGTTTTAACATTTAAGTTTGTTAAATAAGTCAAAAAACTAGCCGTTGCAAACTTTAAAAACTTAGTCATTTTCAAAAAATTAGACATTTTAAAAATAAAAAAAAACTATACTTAAGGCCCACGAACCCGTCCCGCCCCATCCCGTCCCGTCCCGTTTGTCCCGTCCTGTTTCGTCCCGTCCCGTCCCGTTTGTCCCGTCCTGTTTCGTCCCGTCCCGCCACCGTCCCGCTTAAATGTCGTTCCGTCCCGTCCCGTCCCATTAATTTTGTCCCGTCCCGTTGGACAACCATAGTCTAATCAATACGAAAAGCACATTTGAGTAATAATTTATGTTTGGCCAAGCTTATCAAAAAATACTTTTAAGTTACAAATTACGAATAAGGACATGAAGAGATTTTTAATACTTAATATTATATAAGTAAATTAATAATCTCAAATATATATTATTAAAGACAAAAATTAATTTATTTACTTTATTTAAGTAAATATGAAATAAAATTAAAAAGTGCTTTAATTCTTTCAAGATGATTTAAATATATCAAAAAATTATTCAACAAATATAAAAATATTCACCCAATTATTCAGTATATACTAGAAAGCCATTCAAAAAATAAGAAGGAAGTACTTCTACACTAGGAGATTTCTCAATAATATAATCTCTAATTCTAAGTAGTAGGTATAAAATAAGTAAGGTTATTTTAGTATATATATTATATTTTGCCAATGGTTTTTATAAGAAGAAAAGTCAAAATTACTTTTGCTTCTTCCCAAAAATTCTCTAAAAAAAATTTGGTCAAACTCCTTAAGTTAAGAAGAAAAAAAAAAGTTTTTGGAAAAAAAATATATTTTTGGCTCTAAGAGAAGCTTAGTCGCTATTAGTCCCTCAGCACATGTCTTATGGAATCATTTCCACTTGAAATATAATACAATTGTTATAATTCTTCATATTTAACTAAGATGGGTAAGCATTAAATTTTAAGTGGGTATCAACCAGACATTATGGGTGTGTTTGGTATGAAGGAAAATATTTTTCGGAAAATATTTTTCAACTTTTTCATATTTGGTTGGCTTAAATGTTTTGGAAAATATTTTCCTTATGAACTCATTTTTCTCCCATTGGAGGAAAATGTTTTACTTATCAAGAGAAGGGAAAACATTTTCCAAAACTCCTTCTCAACCTTCCCACCCTACTCCCCACCCTTACCAACCTACTCCACACCCACCCAACCCCACCTTACGCTTACCCACCCCACCCTCTCTATCTAAAAAGGTTTTTTTTTTCAAATTTCAGTTTTTTTTTTCTGTCACCACCCACCTGCTACACCCTGCAAAAAAATTATTATTTTTTACTCTTTTTTCTTGTAATTTCAGATTTTTATTTTTTCGTTTTCCTGTACCACCACCCCCCACCCCGCCAAACACCCACCCCACTGCCCCCCACCCACACAAAAAAGATTTTTTCTTAAACTTTTTTTTTGTAATTTTAAATTTCTATTTTTTTGTTTTTCTGCAACCCCCGCACAATTTTTTTTTATACTTTTTTTTTGTAATTTCAAATTTCTGTTTTTTAGTTTTTCTGCCCCTCCCCCACCCCCTCCACCAATTTTTTTAATATATTTTCAGTTTTAATTTTTTCATCTTTCGGTTTACGGGTTCGAAACACAAGTTCCAAAGTTATGAGTTCAGAAGTTTATGTGTTTAGAAGTTTATGGGTTTAGAAATGATAAAGTTTACGCGTTCGAAAGTTCGCGGTTTCGAAAGTTTAGCTGTTCGAAAGTTTGTTAAATTTGTAGGTCCGGAAGGTTGTTGGTTCGAAAGTTTATGGCTTCATGTTTACAACAACAATAACGGCCCAGTATAATCCCACACGTGGGGTCTGGGGAGGGTAATATGTACACAGACCTAACCCTACCCCGAGGGGCAGAGAGGCTGTTTCCAGAAGACCCTCGGCTCAAGAAAGCAACAAGAGGCGATATATTAGTACTATCAATAGACTCATAATAAAATAACATAACATAACATAGAATAACATAAAATCACAAAAATAACAGCAATATATGAAATATAGGATATGGCTTCATGTTTATTGTATCTAAATTATTTATGAATAGTCTCGAGAAGTTATTTTCCTTAATTTGCGCACCAAACACCGGAAAATAAATATGATTACTACTTGTTTTCCAAGAAAATATTTTTTTGGAAAATATTTTCCGCGAAAAATATTTTTCGTTATACCAAACACACCCTATAACTTAGTTGAATATAAATTTTGTTGCTAAAATTTTTTACCTTAACATATTTAAACCATATTTAGATGGGATAATTCCACATAAGTACAGTTCACATAGGTGCTTTTCATTCGCGTAGCCATCATTTTAAGTTTTCATCTGTATAGCCAATGGAGCCCTCTAACATTATTGCCTGACTGACATTATTGCCTGACTGACATTATGGCCTGTCATTATGGCCTATCGCAATCTTTCCTTTTTTTTTCTTCTTCTATTTTTCCTATTTATTTTTTTTCTCTTCCAGATTAATATGACTATCTGACAAAAAGTCAACTCATCAAGTGGTTTTAAATCCTTACTTTTTCATTAGTGGAAAAAGTAGTTTTACCATGTAAACTAGACAATAGCGGCAGGGAGTATAGAAGGGATACGTAGTAGTGACTCATACTGGCTGAGTTAGCCATATATCTTTGTAATTTGCTGCCTTGAATTAATAATATTTGAATTACCTAAAAAAAAATCCTTACTTTTTCTCCATCTCTTTGCCTTACACTAGAAAAAAACTTTCCAGCCACCATTAAACTTTTATTTCAACATAAAATTTACCATATTAAAAAAGTGTCAAACCTTCATGAAGACCTCTTACACAATAATAATGTATATACACCCTTATACATTGAAAAAAAATATAATTATACATCATTATACACAAATCTACACACTTATACCTATTTTATACATAATTATACAATATTTGTATAATTGTGTATAAACACCAGTTATACGGCATGTGCACTGAAAATACCTTATGTCCATCACTACACCTCTGTTTAACACCAATATTATCAAAAAGAACAAGAAAGAAGAAGAAGAAGAAGAAGAAGAAGAAGAAGAAGAAGAAGAAGAAGAAGAAGAAGAAGAAGAAGAAGAAGAAGAAGAAGAAGAAGAAGAACCAATCAGCTCAAGATATGTCTAGATGAATCCTAAATTCTTAAATTTTGTCTCACCCGATCATTAATACTATTATTAATCAATACTCATCTGGATTGAAGCACCAATTCACAATGAAAACTTTCAGATCTGAAAACTTTAGCTTCGTCAGTGGCGAAATTATGATTTTTGGGCTTATATTTCGATACCAAATGCTCACAGTAAGAGACTCAGAGATTTATCAATCAAAATTACTTAAATCATTAATGGGTCAAATATTTTCTTCCTCAATCCTTTCAAATGAACAACTAACTTCATATTCTTCATCTTACTCTAGACTTTCATCTTTTTGCATTAGAAAAGTTTGAGAGAATTAAAAAAAATAAGAAAAATTAGATCTGGAAATTAGAGAAGAGAAAAGATAGGATGAAAGATAGATTTAAAATTATAGAAGATAGAAGATGAATATGGGAGATAGATCAAAGAAATATGGAGGATAGAAGATGATGGCCTGTAGAGAATAAAGAGGCGCCGGGAGAGAGAGCCTTTTGGGCGTGTAGGGTAAAAGAGAACTAGGTTAGTGATTGAAATCTTTCCTTCAAATTCTATACAAACTGGGCTATAGCGGGTAAACTTTAAAATTATGGGTCATTTTTTGTTATGGTGTGAAGTCATGTGTATTTTCTTGTAATTCTTTCTATTTAGATGTACAATTATGGGATTCATGCTTTTCGACAATGTTCACTCTTTTGGTGCTCGTATAATCTAAAGCTAAATTAGTTCGACGTTATTTACTAACTTTAATACACTAAAGTTACGAAGTATGCTTGTTGGATAAGTTTAGGTTTTAACTAAAATTTCAAGAAGAAAGAGAAGGATGTAGATCTTGAGTATCTTCACTTTAATTAAACTGGTATTTATTACTTTGATCATAAAATAATAAACAATAATAAACACATGCATTTACTTGTTTATTGTCCTTCTTACTCTCCCCTATTTCTCATTACTATATATACATTTGTTTGCTGAAAGTCTTATAAAAAATATCGAAGGATCAACAATTTGTCGAATTAGAATTGAATAAAGTCGTAGTAAATTTTCAATAAATAATTAGATCAATGCAATTTGAATTAAATTTGGGATAAAAATATCTTTAAATTTGAAATTAACATAAATCGTCTCATAAAGATGTAAAATTTTAGAAAAAGAAAATAGAGTGTTAATGAAACGTTTAATTTATTAAAGCTTATATTGAGGGAGAAGAGTGTAGTTCATAATTCTAGAAGGATGTATATGTATTATCCTAGAATAGATAGGGACGTTAACTAATATTTCATGCTACTTAGCGAAAATTCTCTCTCTACCAACTGTAGCCTGGAAGCACCTTTCCACATCATGGATCCTCCACCGATTAAGCCACCAATCCCACCGGAACCCCCGGATAAACACAGCCACATGGAGGTAGAATTACCTCATCACTCCTATAAGGAAATGCTCCTAGATAAACCAGTGAGCAACCAAACAAACTACTACAAAATAGACCACCAATCAATTCTAGAACTGGATAAAGGGAAGCACATTGAGGGTTCAATTCCACTCTCACAAGATGACAAAGAATGCCTTTACCTCCCATGGCGCTACTCGGTGATTATCAAAATGTTCAAACGAAAGATGCCTCACCACCTCCTTCGATCTAAGCTAAACGACCTATGGAAGCATCCGAACAGTTAATCTTGATTGACCTAGGGTGGGACTTCTACATAGTTAAATTTAGCTTAGAGGAAAGCATGGTTAAGGCTCTACACATAGGATCTTGGTTCATTTCTGGAAACTTCCTATTCGTACGTAAATGGGAACCAAAATTTGTTCCTCAAGAAGCCACCCTCACTTCTACTGCCATCTGGATCCGATTACCTCAACTACCTACAGAATTCTATGACAAGGATATCTTAGAAAAAGTTGGGAGGAAAGTGGGCAAACTTCTCAATATAGACCAATTTACATCCTCTACCCTAAGGGGAAGATATGCACGCATCTGTATCCAAGTTCCACTGAAAACCCCAGTAGAAACATCAGTAATAATAGGAGACCATAAGCAGGCTGTGATCTATGAAGGAGAGGGAACCCTATGCACCATTTGTGGCAGAATAGGTCACACTGCACTTAACTGCAACTATAGGACACAAACACCCACAACAACCCAAGAACCACAAGACGATCATCAAGAGAAACCAGTCATTTCGGAGGAAAGTGAATGGGAAACTGTCATCTTCCCACGAAGACGTAAGCAGGGACAAGCAAAAAGAATAAACAAAGATGAAGGTAAAATGAACAAACCACATCATGCTTCACAGAAGGAAGAGATACGGGTAAATATGTTCGATGCCAATTCAGGTAAATTTTTACAAACTCAAACTCTTCGTTATAATTCAAAAAAATATTCAACGACCAAAAAACCAAAAAGAGGCCAAATGGTCCAAACAAAATCTTCACTAGTGCACAAGATATGCCCAAACACGGGAAGAACACAGGCCCAAGGTTGCAGCCCAATACAGGTGCCAAACGAAAAGCGGGGCCAACAACGATGACCCCACTAGCAACAATCATGAGCCCAGCTTTAAAGGGGCCTCTAGCCCAACTCCCAATACCTCAATCACCACATTTGGTGAAACACCCAATGGGGCCGGTTCCTTTTCCCCAAACGGACACTCCATCAAGGGCACCACTGACAACACAACTCCCTACCCCAACACCCAAACCTACGCTTTCCCTACCAAATCTCCTGAAACGTCCTCTAATGGAGAAATCCCAACAGTTACCAACAACAATCGAGTACCCTATCTGCTACCCCCCCTCGCCCCCCCGCCGCCCACCCCCCCCCCCCCGCCCATTTTCCCATATGAAAAGACCACAACCCTCACCTCCATTACATCCCCAATTAATGAACACCCCACCCCTAGTTCCGATGCCCAAAAACCCTTCCACTATCCAAGATGTGACACCAAAGGGTTTAATGATGGGACGACAGTCCCTTAACTTCACTCCCATCGTTACCCAAAGTAGCAAGCCATATAAACACAAAAATGGCAAAAGAATCACTACCGACCACCATCACCACCGCCAGACCACTAACCGACCTTCTTGTCGGAGGTTGCCTTGCAGGGGCAGGGTCTATCCTACGATTTCACCCTAGGAAAATCAGAGGGTGACACTGATAGTGCAAAACCCAGCCCACCTAGCCAGGGTAACGGTGGAAGCAATGAACAAGGCATTGGTGGCCTTTGGACCTCTCCTATGGCAATCGATGGTCAACAGCGATAGCAACTCACCAATAACAGACCCTCAAGCCCTAGCAACCATATCCTACAGAGCTTCCAATCCCCACCCTTCTTCCCAGATCTGACGAAAGAGGACCCAATGGCGGAGCCGATCTTTGTCACGATCGATCAACCAACCAACCCATCATCTTCTGCTCCAAAAAGGAAGAGCAACTCACCACCCCTTCAGAATATCCAGAAAGGAAGATACTCAAGAAGAAGAATGCCTCATAAGAGTCGAAAATGTCCTATCCCACACCAAGGACGGACTCACTTCTCCTCGACTTAGTGAGATCGATCAAATTCAGCACAGAAACAAGCGAGATAGTAGTGGTGTGTGCCCCAGAACAATGACCAAGTGTGGAATGAGCCTAGTCTCAGGTCAAACACACGGTCCGTTGAAACCCCTTCTAAACCTAACCCCAATCCTGAGTTTAAAGAGGAAGTCACCACCACTCCAAATGCCAGGTCTGCCAGGACCAACGAGCCCTCGCGAGGGAACTCACCAATCACCCACAACTCCAATGATGAACTACATCATATTTCGAATGTTAAGGGTGGAAACAATGCCGAGTTCAAACGGTACTATTTAGAAATGGTGAAAATGCACAAGCCTGCAATGCTAGTATTGCTCGAAACCAAAATGGCAGACCACTAGTCCTTGGCCCAGCAACTCCAGTTCGATATGATCATCCAGCCTCCAACAGTAGGCCCATCTGTGGGTATCATGTTTATGTGGAAAGAAGAGTTCGTGTCCGTTGAAGAAGTGGCAACTACCCCCCAAGGTATTCACGCAATGGTGAAGGTAAGCCCAGACCACCCTCCATGGCTCTTTTCCGTTATTTATGCCAGCAATCTCTTAGTAAATAGGAAGCTCCTATGGGAGCAACTAACCACAATATCAAATAACATAAAAACAAATTGGTTCATAGGAGGAGACTTCAATGAAGTCTTAAAGGCCAGGGACAAATTTGGGGGTAACCATATAAACCTGAGCCGCAGCAACCTATTCTAGAACTGCATAAACAAGTGTAACCTAATAAACCTAGGCTATAAAGGAAGCAAATACACTTGGACTAATAAAAGGTGCAGCAACAAAACCTCCCTAATTCTGGAAAGAATAGATAGGTGCTTTGCCAATGAAGGTTGGATAGAACAGTACTCTGAAGCTACTATACTTCACCTCCCTAGGACCCACTCAGACCACTGCCCTTTGCAAATTCACCTGGTAGGGCCTCCAAACAATAAACCATCAAGGCCCTTCAAGTTTGAATCAATGTGGGCTAGCCACCCTTCCTTCCCTAACATCATCAATAGGGCTTTCTCTGACCAATCCACCCTTCTTCAATCCACTGAAAGTTTCAAGACTCTGGTAACCAAGTAGAACCAGGAAGTCTTTGGAAACATCTTCCATCAAAAGAGGAGACTCCTGGCTAAAATCTCTGGTATCCAAAAGTCTCCTAGCTACCAATTCGGTAGCTACCTGTTAAATCTTGAAACAGAACTAAATGTTGAACTCAACCAAATCCTCAAAAGTGAAGAAGACTTTTGGAAACTAAAGTCTAAGATCAACTGGATAAATGAGGGTGATGCTAGCACTAGATTTTTTGACACATCAACCCTCAATAGAAGAAGGAGGAACAGAATCCTATCCCTCAAAGAAGAGAATGGTAATTGGCTTCATGACCAAAAAGACATCCATTCAGCTATTGTGGGCTTCTTTACTGATCTATACACAACCTCCCACACTAAAGCCCCTTGGGCAACCACCAATCACTCCACCATGGAACCCATCCTGTCCCAAAGCCAAAGGGTTTTTATGGACAGACCCCAAGTGAGTGAGATTAAAAGGGACCAAGCGGGCCCGGGGTCGATTTTTTTGGATTTTTAGGAAAAATGATTCGAAAGTTATAATTAAATATTGGAATTGGATTGTTTAGCATTTATTGATGTTATTAGGTCAATTATGTATAGATTCGATTGGGTTGGAGCCAAATTTGAAAGGAAAAGCGGTGTTTGAGGCTTGAGTTGGCCGTGGAAGTTCGAGGTAAGTGTTTGGTCTAACCTTAGCTTGAGGGATTAGGAGTTGAGTCTTATTTGATATGTGATAATTGTTGAGTACGACGTATAGGCATGGTGACGAGTATCTATACGTTGGTGTCTAGCATGACCGTGAGTCCTTATATTGTGAATATCATGATTTCGTTATATTTTTCATGCCTTGGTGATGATTTCTATCTGTTGTGAAAAACTCGTGGAAAGAATTGTGACCTTGAACAACAAGGAGCATTGGCTCAAGTTATATTATAAATTGTGAAAGTATATGAGATGATTGAACCCTTTGGAGCATTGGCTCAAGTGGTAAAGTGAGATATGAAATAAAAGTGAAAGAAAGAGAAAGAGTTATTAAATTGTTTCCTTCCCGGGTTATTGTTGCTTTGTTGATTGTCTCCCTTGTTGGGATGTTGAGATTATTGATGTTGTTCCCTTGCCGGGATTTAATTGTTTAATTGTTGTTCCCTTGTCGGGATTTCTATTACTATTTTATTTATTTCCTTGCCCCTTTGTTTGTGGTTGTTGTTCGGGTGAGGAAGAGTGTTAAAGCACGAAGGGTGATGCCGTGCATTGTTTGTTATTGTGAAGGAAGAGTGTAAAGCACGAAGGGTGATGCCGTGCCGCACGATGTACCATTCCGTGCCTATTATATTGATTTCATGGTGAGGAAAGAGTGTAAAGCACGAAGGGTGATGGCATGCCGCACGATGTACCATTCCGTGCCTATTGTACTGATTCTTATGGTGAGGACGAAAGTAAAAGCACGAAGGGTGATGTCGTGCACTTGTCCTTGATTTTCCCTAATTCTTGCTGATAATTGAGTTGTGTTGTCCATTACGTTTATTTACTGATTTTCTGTTGTTACTTGACTTCATTTCAAGGTTATAGATTCCTTTACCCTATTTGCCCTGTGATTGTTGTTTGGGTGAGGAAGAGCGTAAAGCACGAAGGGTGATGCCGTGTATTGTTTTGGTGAGAGAGAGTAAAAGCACGAAGGGTGATGCTATGCGCTTGTCTTTGATTTTCTAATTTTCATTGATAATTATGTTACAGTTTCTCTACACTAAATTGCTGGTTTCTTGTTGATAATTGTTGTACCCCGCAGCATGATCTCCCCTTCCTATTTTCAATTGAACTATGGTGAACCTCATACTTATCTGTTACTCTTCTGTTACTATTCGATGTTTTCCCGCAACATGTTTTCTCCTTTCCATACTTGACTGTATATGACTGTTTCTTTCTGTACTTCTTTTTCCGTTGTATATAGTTAAATTGCACAAGTTTATTTGGTAATCTGGTCCTCCTCGTCACTACTTCGCCGAGGTTAGGCTAGACACTTACCAGCACACGGGGTCGGTTGTGCTGATAGTACACTCTGCACTGTGTGTAGATCCAGGAGAAGCTTTCGAACAGTAGTTGGAGGGTTTCCTTCAGTCCACCTGGAGACCCAAGGTAGACCTGCAGGCGTCCGCAGGCCCTGGCGTCTCCCTCTATCTCTATTTCCCTGTTTCACTTTCTTTTGTTCAGAAACAGTGTATTGTATTTCTTCAGACCTTGTATGTAGTAACTCGTAGACAGTCTGTGATACTGTAATTAACACCAGGTTTTGGGGTATTCGAGGTTTAAAAGTTGCAATAGACGTAGCCTTAAGATATATAATTGTTGACTTTCGCTTATTTATTTAAAATTCTGCTGCTATCATATTATCGCCTTGTATTTGTTTAAAAGAAGCAATATGAAAGTGTAGCAAGTAGTTAAGGTTTGGCTTGCCTAGCTCCCATTAGTAGGCGCCATCACGACTCCCGAGGGTGGGAAATCTGGGTCGTGACAATATATAACGCCATAACCTTTCCCATATCCCATATACATATATATATATATATATATATATATATATATATATATATATATATATACGCGTATATAACGCCATAACATCATCATGCCTCTGAGGGCGTCCCATCATATCATCTTGGTCATTGAGGGCAAATTATCAACGTATACCAGCTGATCAGGTGGTGGTGCGTATATAACGCCATAACCTTTTCCCATATTTCATATACATATATACGCGTATATAACGCTGTCTGAGTCATGGATAAATGCACATGTAAATGAATGCAATGCATGAGAAATACGTTTATAAAATCTTTCGGAATGTCATAAGACCATTATGCCTTTGATTAATATCATGAAATAAACATTACCAACTTGTGTATTTTCTGAGACCCATGAACATATGATTAAATAATAGGACATAGATTACTCATATTATGTGTATAATTTAAAACATATTCGAAAGTAGTAATATTAATAACTATATAAAATCATATTTTTCAAACTTTTTATAAAAATGTTCCCCTCAAAATACCATATCAAACGAATATAATGGTGTCAAATATTACTAAATTCACGGGATGTAACAAGCTACTTCCTGAAAAGCCTCGCAACTGCTGAATTTTCAGTTCATTATGTACATAAGTTTGAAGTTGAATAGTATATCAACCCCCCCCCCTCTCTCTCTCTCTCTTTATCTCTTTATACTTGTCTTCTGTTTTATTTACTTTACAATCTTTATTTTATAACACGTTATCAGCACGAGACTCATCCATCTCAAGCAAATACTTTGAAAGTATCAAAAGTACGAACTTTCTTTTTGTAAATAATGTCAAATCTTTATAAATGTGAATTTATAATATTGGATATATTGGGCAAAAGTTACGTGTCTTGGGTACTTGATGCTGAAATTCATCTTGATATGATGGGTCTAGCAGACACCATCAAGGATAAGTTATGCGTTTTACTTGCTATGTATACTACTGCCATTAAAATAAAATAATTAAAGGTATTTAGGAACCTAGTAAGTGAGCCATAATCATTGGCCGAGATTCTAGAGTATTTTATGAATTTTAAAATACTATAATTTGTGTATCTTTATGTTCCGTTTTT